CTGATTCTATCCATAAGGTACTCTTTGGAGATCTCTCTGTAGGTCACAGAGATCATGTTCACCAAACTGGCAATATTCGATGCTTGGAAAGCTTGGTTATACAGCAGATCTCTAAGGAATGATTTTGCTGAATAGCCAAGCTTGGAAGAACCTGCTTTTTCTGCAGTATGGACAACATCCTTTAAATGTTTGTTTAGGTTTGTTTTGATTATGTTGGAGAGCATCTGGAAAAAGAACACCATCTTCTCCCATTGTTCCTTTACTTTTCCCATTGCATCCAGTCCCTTTGTCAGCATTTTAATAGTGGTCTTGAAGTCGATTTCTTTCACCTCACAGCTCCTCATTGTGACTAGGATTTCAGTCAGGTTGCTGTGGTATTTGTCCAGATTTTCCAAGCTCTTTTGGAACATTTCTTGTGCTTGATTCATCTGAGCTCGACTCTGCTCTATGCGAAAACGGGCGTTGTCAGCTGCGACGTCGCCTGCACTTTTTCTCTGTGTACTTTGCTCTCCTTGCTGTTTGGCCAGTTGTGGGGTGGTTACAGGAAAGGTACCTGTGAAGCCTTAACTCTCTGTATCAAACTCCAAAGCCTGTTTTTTAAGCTTGTTTATATCTATAATTAGCTTTCTTCACAGATGTTGTCTGGAGCAATATCTGTTAGCCAAGAGCAGATTGCAAGAATGTCTTTGCATATTTGCACTGCTGTTATTTTTGGCTTGCAGTCTTCTTATTTTTCCAAAGATTCCTTAACTCTTTTCACCTGATCTGCCACCCACTCAGACTTTGGATATTCCTTCTTTTGATCATAAAGTTCGTTCCAATGTATTTTGTCTTCATGAAAAAAAAAACTAGTTCTATGAGACTCAAGAGAACCTGTGATTTGGTATAAATGTTGCCTAATGCAATGGGATTTTGCTCCTTACTTGTTTTATTTCCACACTTAATTACACTTGCAGCACAAACACTATAACAGATATTAACAAAATTAGTGAGGCCCTCCACAAAGTTCATGCCAACAATATCCCAACCACTGGGCAGAGAATCCATAGCTTTTTTATACTCTTGTTGAGCTTCATCCAACTACTTTTGCATGTTTTCAAATGTCTTATTCGCTCTACGTTTTCCTTCTTCTGTTGTTTCTTTCCTCAACTTGGATTCCTCTATTTTCTGCTTCAGTTCTTCTAATTCTTCGCTATGGGCTACCTTAGCATTCACACAGGCCTCCATCAGCTCGTGAATCAGGTCAATGACAAAGGTGAATTTCTCCTCTGTGAGCTCTGACAGGATTTTACAGTCCTCTGCTATGGAGCTGATGTTTTCCAGCTGGTCAGGGAGCATGAGCTCGATGAGCTTGTCGTCATCTTGGAGAATCAACTTGACTGCTTTTTTTACATACTCTGGCAGAGTGGAGACGAATTTGGTCCATGTTGTTATGGGCCTCGTTGAACGCACCCCATCCAGCATTGCACACTTGCATGAGACAGGTGCGGAAGGACTCTGGGTAATGAATGAATTTAAAGCCATCTTTTGGGGGATTTGTTTGATAGAGAAGTCAGTGTTAGAAGAGATAAAGACTAATTCTCCTAAAATGGCTATGGAAATTGGAGCTGGCATCAAAAACTCTTCCAAATTAGCATAAGGTTTCATTAGCATTTTGTTGTCATTTTGTACATCTTCAGCCTTGGTGATTTTTTTGGTAACTTGTATTATTTCCATGATTCTTCTTCCTAAGAATAAAGGATAGAAAATCAATTTGTGCTCTGCAATTGTGTGTTCATGTGCATTTGTACACATGGAAACCTTTCCTAAATATT